CTAACAAGTCTTTACTGAGCATGTGCAAACTGAGAATTTTATAGAGGCTCATAACTTGGCCAGATTTGGGCATATTTTCATGCAGACAGCAAAAGCCACACCTCTGGCACCACCCGCCCTCGACCAACTTCAAGTGCTTGCTCCAAATCATGGAAGCACCAGAGCATCTCAGTTTTTATTTGTATTTTATCTCGGACACAACAATGTATTTTTCCTTTATGTCATTCTCTGAAACAGCTGACCCGTTTTAGCTTAACTTTCCCCCCAAAATTCAGTTTGAGACAGACACCCAGCATGGGAAATTTCAGCCCATGTGATTTAAGTTTGGCAAGTTATAAGCAACTAAAAAGAAGGGTCTTATAATGGAAAGTGTTAGGCAACCTTAATTATAGGCGTGTCATGACCAGCTCCACCAATAATATTCACCCAGACACACATTCTATGGCATATCCATTCATATATGTATATTGGGGCAAGTTTATGTATAAGGGGCCACCACATCAGTGGGCTGGCTGCACACAGAACAAACTGATCGTCATTCTGAAGGCACAGTGCCCAGTTAGCTCCATCAGGAGCCATGTGGACGGGAGCATGGTGGAGGCTGGAAAATTTAGCAAATAGCACCTGGTGAGGGTGTGCCGTAATGTGCCCTGCACTGTCCAGTGACCCCAGATTCATACAGGGCAGTCAAAGAGTGGGCTGCTGTTCACCCCTTTCCCTACACCACTTTCTTCCCCACCTTCCTGGGGCCACACGTTCCCGGTCAATCACACCAGGCGCGCTCTCTTATGTGGCGGGATGGGGAGCGTGGTGCTTCCCTTGGGTGTGTGCTCGCAGCTCCCATTGACATCAGCAGGAGCACAAGGCTGCATGCAGGAGATGGGATTGTGGGAATCTGGAAGTTACGGAGTTGCTTTTGATTCCTCAAACGACCCCCACCTCCTGGACAGGAGATGGAGATGCCACCCACGCTGCACCGAGAGACACTCAGACCGGCTTCGGGATATTACTGCCGGCCGAATTCCACAATAGACCTGATTGCTGCTTCCTGGCTACCCTGGAGCTGGTGTCAATAAATACATAACTATGGGCAAGATAGACAGGTGCAGGGTCCGATCCATGTATCTGTACAGGCTCAGTGGGACCTGGGGCACAATTACGTGCCATGCATATAGGTCTGATGTGGCACTGTTATTATTTATTATTTCTATTGTGCGAATGCCGAGAGGCCTAATCAAGGATCGGGTCCCCATGGGGCTGGGTGCTGTACACAGATAAAATGAACAGAGGGCCCCTCCCCTAAAGAGTTTCTGGGACTGGTTCTACACCCAAACCCTATTCTTCACAACTGGCCTTTGGCTCCTTGGAACGGGAGCTTCCCAAAGGTAAGCTCCTACTTCATTTCTCTGCAGAGGGAGAGCATGAATTTTCCGGTACTGAAGGAGTTAATCCCATAACGCTGAGGCTTGTAGTTTTGTTTACTTTCAATTTATACCCTTCGCTTAAAGAGGGGAAAAAAAGAAAAAGGGGGGGGGGGAAGAAAGCCAGGTGACATATTCTAAGAGGGAGCACTGAAAACGTGTTAAGCACTTCAAAATCTCATATATTCAATCGGCCTCTGGCAAGACATCTGCCTAATGTTAGCGCTTAAATATCCTTTTCCATTTTACATGCATTCAAGTCTCATTTGAGCGAAATGAAACGGTATTATTAAAGGGAGATTTTGCACAAATGGCCTGAATTTGACATGTCAAGTTCAATGAGGCTGTTACACATGTAACGCCGAGAAGGGCTCCGAGGCTGCTGGCTCTTGAAACGCCGCCAGTGGCTCAGAAATGAAATTTGCATGCAGCCCTCTCCCTTCCCTCCCTCCCTCGAAACGCTGAGCTGGGACTCGTGGGGCGGTTCTCAGGCCCCAGCCACTTTAAGGAGGGGTTTGGACCCAGATCCAAGGCTGAACCCTTCAGGTTGGGCCCATCTCAGCTCAAACCCACGCAATGTTTGAAGAGGCTTCTGGTAAATTCCACTTCACTACGTGCCCTGTTTCAATGACTGGCCTCAAAGCTGCTTCTCCCACCCCTGGCCTCGTCTCTTCTCTAGGCACAGCCCCTCAACGCAGGTGACTGCGCTCACAGCTTGGGATGTGGGCATCTAACCACACCGGCTCAGTCGCGCCCCTCCTTGCCTGAGAGTGGCTTTCCAACGGTCCCAAAGGGTGGGGTTCCTGCCCCTCCCTGTGGAGATGGTTCCACAGCCCCATAGATCTCGCCTGCAAGGAGCCTTTTCCTGCAGTTCAGCCCATCCTCCATCCCATCCCTCCTGTGAATACCCTGGGAATGCTTCCTCTTTCCACTGCTCCCCTTCCTTTGCCCCCACCCTCCCTCCGTATGGCACTAACTTCCTGCTGAGGAGCTGCCTAACCTCAAACCCAGCATGTTAGGCAAGGTCGCCCCAGACCCAACCGTCTGTTCCACCGGCAGACCACTGCTCGTTCCAGCCCAGTATCCCACCTCTGGAAGCAGGCTGGCCTGGACGCTTTTTGCTAAGGCTGTGATGATGCCTGCAGAGTGGGTCTGAGGGGATCCGCCTTGCCTCACTGTAAGGGCTGGCCATTTATTTTTGTTGCTGTAAATGATTCAGGTTTATTAAAACATCACCTCACAAACCATGACTGGCTGTGTCCTCTGTTAAAAACTGAGCCCCGCTGGAAAGCAACCCCTCGGCATGTTTCTCCCCATCAGATTGATAAGTAACAGCTGCTCTGTCATTTTCATAATGACTCGGCATTGGCAGGGAGTGGGCTGGGCTCCTGCCCCGATCCCCATCACGTTTATAGCCCTTCCTTTATTTGTATGTTGATTGGATTATTTGAGATCATCATGAGTTTCTCTCTCCTCTCGGTGATGTGTTGCTCTCTTGCTCCCGGCTCTTCCTGTGGCCAGGCCTCCAGGGCAGGGAGCGGAAGAAGGGCCACTCGGATTGTTACAGCCAACCGGCCCTGCCTGGCTGGGAGAGCAAGGGGTTCATTCCAGGTAAGCAGCCACATTTGTGTCCCGTTCCCCGGTGCTCCTGCTCACCGCCCTGGCAGGAGTTTCGGGGGCTTCCTCCCCGGCTAGGGTGGCCGCGGCCAGGAGGCGGGGAGAGAGCGGCAGGGCGACGAGCTGCTTTGTTGGAGATTAGCCTCTCTTGCCTGAATCCATAGAACAGATTGACTGTTATCTGTCATGGCACGGTGGGAGTTGTTATTTAATAATTAATAAAGACCTCTGATTCTTCTTCACCGCACACGGGGCCGACCAGAGCTGGCCGGGGAAGAGAGGGCGAGCCAGAGAGAGCTGTCTGCTCTTTAACTGCCGCTGTTATTTAAAGGAATAATGCCATTCTTTTTCATTTGTCAGCTGGCCCACAATGGCCCTTGTCATGCTTTATGATTTAGGGTTTCCTTTCCTTTCCCATTAAACGCCACCTTCCCATCACCGCCTTGCACCAACCAGAGGCTGCTCTGCAGTTTCAGTTTCACTCTGATATTGGCCCAACTTCCTTGATGGGCTGCTCTGACCACTAATTGCTTCTGTTCATTTAAACCTGTTCACTAATTTGCAGTGGCCCTTTATTAAGTTGGATGCAGCCCAAATTACACCATAAATTATGCACACAAGGGGACTGGGTGTCGCGTGGGATGAATGGATTGGCTATTCCCTTTTTTTTTCCTCCTCTCTCTCACTGTCTCTCTTTTAAAGAGCCATGGATCTGCACTCCAGCTGAGTGCCACCTGGGTGATGAATCTGGGAGGTCTCAATCCAGCCCCAGTTCAGGAGGTCTCTGCTGAGGTTCCCTCCATTCTCCCTTCATCTGCAGCTGATCGCAGTCATTGCTTGGCTGGAAAAATATCCCAGACTCAGCTGAGTCTGAAGTGGGCTTTCTCTCTTTCTCTCTCCAAACCTCAGTGGTGGTCTGACCAGGTGCTATGGGGCAATTAATCTGAGCCACTCCCCCACCTCCAACTCCCTTCCCTATCCCCCGGTGATGTAACTTAGCTTCCAGTCGGCAGTTTGATTCTTTTTCTCACCTTTTAATGACCGGGGAATTCATTAATAATTGAAATAAACACGCTCTTTTCCAAGGCTGCTGAGTTTTATTAAGGCAGGGGCAGGGATCTGCCAACCCTTGGCTGCAGTCATTCCCTAAATAACTGCTAGCAGTTAAACTGCAATTAATTTTTTTTTAAATAGGGGAACTTTGCCGTGCTGGGGAAAGCAGCAGGCAGTGAGAGCTGAAAGGCAGCCTGGGGCAGCAGGCTCTCTGCTAAATGCCTGCTGCCTTGGGGGGTTTGGTTTTGCCCCCTTGAGCCTCATACCTGCTGAAGCAAAGTACCAGGGATGCCTCAAGCTGACAGCCGTAAGTACTTGCTCGCCCGAAAGCTTGCAGCGCAGTGGGAAGCCGCATGTCCCTGGGTTTTAGCGGGGCTGGAGGAACATAAGAACGGCTACACTGGGTCAGACTAAAGGTCCATCTAGCCCAGTGTCCTGTCTGCCGACAGTGGCCCATGCCAGGTGCCCCAGAGGGAATGAACAGAACAGGGAATCATCGAGTAATCCATCCCCCGTCGCCCATTCCCAGCTCCTGGCAAACAGAGGCTAGGGACACCATCCCTGCCCATCCTGGCTAATAGCCATTGATGGACCTATTCATTAGTTTATGTCTAAGGAGTGCTTCCAAATCTCTGTCATCCTGCTGACTTTGATGGGGGCTGGATCAAGGCCTGGGCTCCCAGGTGAAAACGAGTTTGCTGGATTTAGCCCAATCCATTGGGCGCTTCATGCCCACAACCCCTCCCCCCCACCACACACACCTCGTTCGCTATCACTGGCAGGGCCTGCTTGGAAAGTGCCCATGGCCCGCTGGCCCCGGAGAGACGCCTGCTCCCACACCTGGATTTTAACCTTTGGCGAGCTGGCCGCTCTGGTGGAGAGAGGATGGAAAAAAGGGCAGCCCCTTACCTGACGTTCAGCTGAGTGAGTTTCTCCAGCTCCTGCTCCATGTGTTCCTGCAGTTCACCGGGGCGCAGAAGGACCTGGCAGATGGGGCAGATCGGGGCCTGGCTGTCGAACAAGGTTGCTTTCTTTTTGCCTGTGGGGAGAGGAGCGGAGAAAGCATTAACCCTCATGCCTGTGTAAGCCCAGTCTTGGTTGAAGCTGACATTACCCCAGCCACGTTTCTCTGCTGGCCTAATGGTAGCGCGTGGACGTGAGAGAGACCCCGTGACACAAGATGCTAACAGGGAGGTGGCGGGCGCCCTACCCAGCTCCACGGCACAGCAACCCCAAAGGGAGCGAAAAGGAAAGGTGAGGATTTGCCATTTGGTTTCTATCGAGGCAGCTCCATGCTCTTCCCGTGAACCCTCGCAGCCGGGTCAGACACAGCCTCCAGGTCCTATTCCCTTGTTCGACTGAGACAGGGTGTCTGGGGACAGGGCTGGGTGGGAAATTGCTAGTGTGAGTGACACGCTCCCACTTCAGGCTGGCTGAATTTCAGCGTGACGATCTGAACACGACTAATAGAATACAGGCTAATGGAAAAAACTATTCCATAGCATATTTTCTACTGAATTTCACTCCCTGGCAGCAGGCACAGTGAGAGTACGAACACCCCTCCAGATTAAAGGATCTTCGGCCAGGCACGTTGTACATGTCATCACCAGTGGGAGGCAGTGGGGTCCAGTGAACCGAGCCGAGGTTCGATTTCCTTGTGCTCCCCGATCTGTCTCTCTCTCTGTATCCAGCTCGTCTTATGCAGGGCCCGGCTTTGTTCTCTCTGCACAGCACCTCACACGACGGGCTCCTAGGCACTCTGGGAATATAAATAATATTCCTGGCTCTGCCATTGCGTCCCTGTGTGGCCTAGGGCAGGACCTTATCCCCGCTCTCTGCCTTGGTCTCCCCATCTATAAAATGTGGAATGACGCCATTGCTCTGCCACTTGGAGATGGACGGACGATAAAGTGCTAATTACTATTGTTAAGCCCGACAGCCCCTGTGTGAGGTGGGCCAGGATCATTAACCCCAATGTACAGAGAGGGGAATTCCCCCAGCCCATGCAGTGAGGCAGTGGCAGAGCGGCTTACAACCCAGGGCACTGTTCTCTTTCTCCCCAACCCCTCAGAGATGAGTAAGTCCCACTGAAGGCCATGGGAATTTCTCATTTCCTGTGGTGAGAGGAGAAGAACCCCCGGAGCTCCTGGCTTGTTCCAGCTCCGGACTCAGAGCACACGCCTCTCCCTCCTGCCCACCCCACATGTCCAGTAACAACCTATAAAAGGAGAGCTCAGTGCCATGTGGGAGCCTGGCGGGGGCTCCCTTCTGCTCTGCAGCAGCTCCCCGTTACTGAATCCCACCCTGCGCTCCCTGGAGTGCTGCACCGCAGCCATGGCCACACGCCTTGCCTGGCTTCCTGACAGCAGCTCCGCTCAGGCTGCTCCCCAGCGCTCCAGGAGGAAGGCTGGCAGCCCACTGGAAAGGTCATGGGCCAGATCCTGGCTTCGCCGTGCTGAAGTTCACTGAGTCACACCAGGAATCTATTCGATCTCACGTGGTTCGTCTCCCCATAGGTTGATGTTATCGGGGGCCCGATAACGGGAGGTGCTGAGTGTCTCCAACTTCCCTGGGAGTTGGGGGCGCTCAGAACCCTGCAGGATCAGACTGGGGAGAGCTCAGAAAAACTCTTGCGGCTCGCCCCAGGCCTGAGAATGCTGCCTTTCTATTTTCACTGCACAACCAGATTTCTCTGTTTAAGTCCCTGTTCCTAAGCCAATTTCCTCCAGCTCAGAAACTTTATTGCCCCCTCTGTTAGGAATATACAGCGCCTATTTAACATAAAATAAAACTCTAAAGCAAACAATGAAGCTACAATAAAGGAGAAAACCCCAACGGCCTCCAAATCCCGGTTTCCCAGCTGTATTAGCGACTGCGCTCATAAGGGGGCGTGCCGAGTCCAGGTCTGAGCACTCCTGCCAGGGGAAGCGTGCTTTATGGCTGCCTGTTGTCATCTAATGTGAACCCTCCTGCTGGATTATTTATTTATGTATTAGACACGGATCAAATTGGTGAAATCCAGGCGAGAGGCAGTAATGCACAATAAAGCAGTCTGCGCTGGATACAAGGGGCTGCATGCAACGTGGCCTTCCAATCACCAGCCAAAAGGTGCCATTTTATGGCTCCTGAGAACAGCGGAGCCCAGCTCAATGAATGCCCGTTAAAGGAAGAGACCGTCTCAAAAAATGAAATGTGGGCGCAGGCAGCTTTACTGGGTTCCTGCTGCTCACCGTATAAACAGCCTGTGCACAGATTTAACGAGAGGCAAGGTCTGAAATAAGTTTGTGACTAACCTTGGCTCCTCCTTGCCTTCGAAGGGCACAAATAGCCAGTGATGGTGCTTCCGTGGGGCTCGCAAAGCACTTTAGGAAAAGCCGTTAATTAGATCCCAGCCCCCTGTGGGGCAGGTATATAGTATCTCACTTTTCCCATGAGGAAATGGAGACAGCGAGAGGGACTTGCCCAAGGTCAGAGCCAGAGATCGGAACAACACCATGAATCCACTGTCTCTTTACAGCCCCTCCTGCTCTAACCACTAGCTCATACTCCCATCCCAAAGCCAGGCAGGGAACTCAGGAGTCCTGACTCGCAGCCCCTCTCTAGCCACGAGACACAATTTCTGCCTCCAGCCCAGAACAGACTCCAAGGGCTCTGACCCCTCTCCCACGCTTCCCTGCTCCACCCAGTGTACCCCACTCCCCTCCCGGCAGATTTGCAGACATGCAGCTTTGCTATCCTGGGATGTCTCCCCCTCTCTCAGACAGAAGCTCTCTCCGCAGTCTGTCATGTTTAAATAATGCCCAAAAACCAAACCGGAGCCAAACAACCAGCGCCCGCTGACCCCGGCGGGAAAGGCCGGCATTTGAGCAATTCCAGCTTCCTGTTGGAGCCTTTCCACTTTTGTGTGGCGGGGGCTTGAAATAGCCCGGGAGGGACCCCCACCGCCTGCTATTTATAATGTTAGCCCCAGCAACAAAACAATGGCGTTGTCTGACTCTCCCTCCCAAAATAAACAGGCCGTCTTCGAGCGGACGGGAAATCCTGCTGGGTCCCCGCTGGGTAAACATGCTGCCCTCCTGGATCCCCTCCCCATCCGCCTGCGCTGGGCGTGCGCCCTCCGAGACCTAGGCTGTCTGGGACGCAGAACGGTAGCAGCTGCGCTGGGATGGGGCAGGCACCCTTTCCTGCCATCGCCGCTAGGGGCGCTCTTGAGCCACCGTCTCCAGCCGTGCTCTCAGGGCCGAGCCCGGGGGGCCTTTAGGGCGAAGGAGGGAAAGTCACCCGGGGCCATGGGGCAGCGGCACTGCTACGGTGGGCAACGGGGCAGCAGCCTGAAGAAGCCAAAGCAAAAGGAGCCCATCAAGTGCCAGGGGGCGGCTTTGCTACCCTCAACCGACCAGCCTGTTTCACCCGTTCTGTGTCGGCAGCACGCTGGCTGCACGCGGGCGGCTGCCCCGCAATTAGCTTCCTTGGGCTGCGCGTCCTGAAGGCAGCTGCGGGTTAAACTGGCTCCTCTTCCCCAGCACAGACCAGAGCTGCGGGCTGCAGGATCCTGACTCGAAGGCCGGGGGCTATGAAACGGAACCTGCCTGGCCTCCAAGGGGCCACGTGGCTTCCCCTCTGCCGGGAGACCGCCCCCCTCTTCCAGGGCCTGGGCCACGCGCCACTGCCATTAATGGAAAGACTCTCACCGACTGTACTGGGCGCTGGATCGGGCCCTGCGTTCCCAAGCCCAGCCTCCCTGTCCAGGGTCCAGCAGCCCCCTCAGGCCAGGCCGGCAGGAGGATGAGCAGTGCTCCCCTTAGCTGCCAGCTACACTAACTGAACTGTAACAAATCTGTGCCAACCAAGCACGGGGCAGCTGTCCCTGCGCTGCACGCTGTCCCACCTCGGACCAGGGTGGGGACAGCGGGGCGAGGGCTCCCACCCTCCTGCTCCGGTGAGCACAGGCGCCTGGTGCTGTCGGGGGGGAGGGGGGGTCCTCCATCAGGGTTCAGCAGCGCGGGGCCTATGACACACAGCTGCGCAGGAGTGTGATTGATTGCTGCGCTGGGGCTTCATGGCAGAGAGGGAAAGACTCGGCCACTGCTCAGAGGAGCTGCCAGACTCACTATGAGCAGCAGGGAGGGGACCCATTCTGACTCCTACACACGGCTCCCAGGCCTGCAGGACTCACGGTAAATAGGGAGCGCTCCTGAGGCCAAAGATGTGTTGTCTGTGCACGAGGCCAACTGAGAACACACCCCGGACCATATTCCCTGGCCTCAGGGCTAGCCGGACTCCCACCCTTTGATCTCGTCTCTTGTCTGGGGATGACGCCTGGGCATCGTGCAATGCGAGAGCAGGGTGCAGCGAATCCTGAGTGCAGCAGCTTTCATTTTTGGAGGGGCAAAGGAGGGCAGAGATATCCTTAGCTTGGCATCAGTCCAATCCATAGGTAGGGGCTGGCAGGGCACTCACCACCACGAAGGAGTGAGTCCGGCTCTGGGATCTCAAGCTGGTAACTGACCCAGCCCACACCACTGAAACTCAGAAGCCACCTCTGAACTGAGCTGGGGTGGTAAATCTATTCCACTGGAGGGGCAGGGGAGAGGGCATCTACCTGTGACAGGCGCTGCCCAGAGTTCCCATCCTGGGTCAGACCTGCCTGCCCATGCGGACCTGCCCGGTGCCCCCAGCTCCGCTCTCTGTGCCAAGCCTGCTCCTGGGAGACCATGAACGGCTCTTTTCAGGGTTTGTTTTTGGCAGCTGTGTTTTTGTTTTCCTTGCCTCTCTCTCCCCCCTTCGGTCCCTTGTCAAGCTGTAGGGCTCTGCTCCAGTGTTTACCTTCCTCCACTCTGCTGCGTTCCCCGTCGCTGGCTAGTGCCAGAGAGATGAAAAGGCAGACCCTGGGCTCTCCTGCTGTTTGCATGGTCTCTCAGGCTCCGAGCAAATGTTTAACTGTAAGTGTTGAAACTGAATATTTCCTGCCCTGAAAGCAGAGAGTTCTTGATACACAAATGAACCCCTGCGCTGTGGAATTTTTCCACAGGCCCCTTC